CCTCTCAGTTGCTTGAATGACCCCTATAAAAATGCTTGCCCTGTTTTTATTCACATGAAAGTCATTTTGACGTCTGACAAGAATAAAGACTCAGTAGTTGAAAAATAACGTCTATACCCATCTCCCCCACAATCCCATCTGCATCAAGACCCTAAAACAAGGGCTCTGGACCCTTCTCCCCACTCCTCTATCACAGGCAATTTTCTTTTCCTCATTCATGTTTCCAAAACAGTTTATCTTTTTATCTCCTTGGAAGAAAAGTACTCTGCAAATCAAAGGTATCATTAGTATTGTTATTATTTCTCTATTGAAATCTCTTGAATTCACTCTGGATTATTCATGTGCTTTTTTTGGGTCTGCAATATAATACCGCCTAAGTCACCCCCACTGGGTTGAACAAAAAAGAAAAATTGCATCTTCAGGCCTAATCCCCTGCTCCACCCGTCTCCTGCTGGCCCTGGCTTGTACCAACACAGGCACACACCAGCGGGGCTGATCCTTGGTACCATGCCTAGCTCACTGCTGCCATGTTCCAAGCCAGATCCTCCTTCGTACACCCAAGGGGGGCCATGGTATCCACTCTGAGCAATGGGAAGGCGTTGACCACGCCCACACCCTCTGATCCCCCTGGGGAGTTTCTTTTCCATCCTCAATAGGTCTGGTGACAACAGAGTGCTCCCTGTTGGGCAGCAGACACTGTGACTGCCCCCACACCCAACAAACAGCATGTTCTGGTTCTCCACCCGGAAGATTTGTTAAAGAAGTGTTCCCACACCCTTGGCAGTTGCGTGCTGACCTTCCAGGATAAAGGAAGTGCTTCTTCCTCCCCGAGACAAGATGTCATAGCGCTTGGGGTGCCAGTGCCAGTGGTGGGGAAAATCACACTGATCCCTTGCCTCATCCTTTGTTATTTGGCATTTCTGGGTAGGTTAAGTGCTTCCAAGGTTGCTGCTCATTCCAAGTTTCCTGTTCTGATCCTTTCCTCCCGATCCTCCTCCCCTCCCTTTCATCTTCTGGGCCGTCTCTGATGCGCTTTTGCTGTCTTCTGATGCTCTGTCCCCTTCTTTTCTCTCCCCAAGGGAGCTCCTGGCAAGTTAAAGCTTCTTGCAGTGTCTTCTCCTTCCATGCTTCTTGTCACCCAGTGGCTCCCCTCACCCTGGCTGGTTCTCTTCACCCACTCTGACTTACCCTTTTGTCTACTCGATGATCTTTTATTCTCTTGGAGATTCAGGATGCCCTAAACCTCTGCCATCCTGACTTCCCTTTTGATGTTTCCTGCCAATTGAGAGAGCAAGTGGGCTGCTTAGAGTTTTCCCAACAGGGATATGGTGTCCCAAATTAATTCTCAGCTCAGATATGCCATTAACAGGCAAATGCAAGTTTTTACTTTCACCATCAGATGTTTAGAGTAGCAAGGTGCATGTGGAAAGCCAATCAGACATCTGGGTTCAGCAGAAATAGAACTTTCTAAACCTCAAAGTCACTGGGCAGGACAGGAGGCTCTGGCAATGCCAGAAAAATCTGTCAGAGACTGGGGAAATAATGGTTCTTAGAGTGACTGAAGTAAAGTCTACCAAGTCTGCACCACTGCGCATCCCCCAAACTATCTTAGAACTTGTGATGTGATGGAAGCAGGGAGCCATCAGTCCTACTGAGGCATTATTTTTCCAAATCTACCTAGATGTGCATGCACAGGCTGGTTGGGATGATGCTTGAAGATTAAGGAGGACATAGATGAAAATAGTTGGGAGCGAGCTGAAATGATAAGGGGAAAAAAATATAGCAAGTTCTAAGTTTATGGATGACAAGAGAATCGATTCTTCTTCACCCAGGGGCAGAACATGCCGTTTCTCCACAGGAGGCAAATTGTGCTGTGACATTATCCCTCTCTGTACAAAGCACGACCATTCTGACAGCTGAGGGAAGAGGCATCCCCAGCAAGAGAGAAACCCACAAACAGCACACACTGGCAGCTCTCCATTTTCTTGTTGGGAGCCAAACTCAGGGACATTGGCAGGGGCCGGAATGGAGGAATGTAATTTAGCCTTTCTACAGCCACTTTAAGAAAGATAAAGAAAGAATCGTATCTACATGAAAAACTCAAACTTTAAAAGAGCAAAGATGCAGCATACTAGTGACATTAATTATACATTAATTTCTGCTCCCTCTCTAAAGGGAGGAATGGAAGAAAGTAAAGGTGAATAAATATATTCAACAAATTAGGAGGGAAAGGATGGTTGAAATAAACTTTAAAAATTCACTTGCACTTTTGTCTTAAAGTCTTCAGAGCATTGTTGGAACTCTTGCTTTGCTTAGGAATGAAGACCTTGGGAGCAGAGGTCTTGGACTATGTTCCCAGAAACTCCAAAATGACTTGCAGGATTCCACTGTGAGAGGTGTTGGGCAGCAGATGGCCATATCACCAGAGTGCCAGATAAGGCCCTAAATATAACCCTGGACGCTTGTTCTCTCTGAGTGGAGAGGGACATCCTGAGTCTCTGCATATTTCCTTGCAAATGCATCCGTACGGGAACAGCGTGGGGGCAGGCAAGTGATTTTGTGTGCATGTATGAAGTAGGGGTGGTCAGGTGGGGTTGCACCCTCATTCCTCAGTCAGGGAGATAATAGTGGGGACTATCTATATTCACTTGGGCTAGTCTTCTTGTGGATATACCCTTTCCCATAACTGGATGAATGTAGGGTACTCTGTGGGTGGGGTACCCTATATGAGTTATGCAAAGAGGGTCACAGAATCCTTTGAAGAATTCACAGTATTCCAAACAACATCCATGTTTTTCAAAATGTCCGTGGATCAAATCAAAGGTATCCCCAACATACCAATGAAGTCCATCAAACATCTTTTCTCATTACCCTTAATTGCTATTAGTCAGATGTTCTCCATTCAAGATCCCTAAAGTGTTCAGTGAGTGAGGCCATTCTGACTGGCTATGTCCATTTTAATCTCTGAATCTTTCTTGAGACCTGTTTTAGTTTCTTGTGTATCTACCACTTGGAGGGATGGGTAGTGCTAGCCAAGCTCAGAACACTCAGGAATAAAAGGCATTTTGAACTGTATGATGCTGTGGTTTCTTCCCAGTTTCCTCAGGGCTAAGGGTAGATGAAGTAGAGCATTACACCTCTATAGGTAAATATTTAAAGGTTCATCATATGAGGCAGTCAAGGAATAGCTTGGTATTGAGAAAGGAGGAAGCAAAGTAGAGGATGCACACTGTAATGATTCAGACAGGAAGAGAGGCATTTAAACACCTATAGGCTTCTTATGCCAATCTAGAGAATAGCAGATCAAGCCTCTAAAAATACAAAAGACTGGTTAAAATTTGCACTAGTCCCATGCAAATGTGTGTATGAGGCAGAGGTGAGGGGAATGGTTGGAAGATTCCCTCTTCCTCTCAGGGATTCAAATGCAACTTCCTGAGTGAACTGGTAAGAGTCAGAGAAGAATGGAAGTCAGGGTGCATATATGTGTGTGTGCGCGTGTGTATGTGCACGCACCCATAAGCAAGCACATGCACTTCCAAGGAAGAGGGTAATCTCACAAAATGGTAAAATAACTGAATCTGTTTCTGTAACACTGTTCTGGGATAGTTCTTATTCATTCAGCCTGAAAACTCTGGAGAAGGCAATTTATCTTCCTGCTGCTGTAGGGAGTCCTGGTGAGATGCATACAACCATATGAATACATGAGTGTGTGTGTGTGTACACATTATAATTATGCACGAAAATGGGTCTATACATACTCTCGTGGGGGGGGTGTGGTTCAAGTTTAATCAGTAAGGTCAATAGCAAAGTTTGAACTGCACAGATAAGGAGCAAATCTGCAGGGACCACAAGGACAGTAAAAAAGCGGAGAACGGAGGCAGGTTTTTGCTTATATTTTGCTTCTTCCTGAGAGAGGAAGCAACGAATGCATGCTGTTTGCTTGCAGAAGCAGTCACCCATGGTGATGCTCTGCTTTCTCAAAAACTTTTACCCTTCATTTAATCAACAGATGGACGTGCTCTGTTGTGGATTTTTCTGAGAGTCCTGTCCCTGTAAGAGCTGTGCTGGCTGGCACAAATGCTGCCTCAGATGGCAGAGGCGGCACAAGCATTCCAAAAGAGTGGGAAGGAACCCATTTACTTGTCCCCTTCAAACTCAATTCCACAGGTGACTTTTGATGCCAATAGCTAAGTAAGCACTCACAATCCCTCTCAGGAATTTCTCTCTTCTCCCTTTACCACCCTCAGCCCCATGGCTCCTAGTGGCAGGGAGCCCAGGGGCGGCAAAGTTCTTTCCCGAGAGTCCACCAGCTTCTCTGCCCCTGCCAAGCTGCAGAAAGCAAACAATCAGCACCAGGGGTGAAATTCCATTTTATGCCCTGAATCCAGGGCTGTGTAGGATTTAGAATTCAGTCTTATTTAGGAAACTCGACATTCAATGAAACTCTTTACAAGCTTTCCCCAGCCACTGCATATTACCCCCACAGTACATTCTGTAATTGCAACCCCTTCTACAACCCTTGCAAACTGCACACGTTGGCTTTTGAATACACTCATGCAAGATAGACCTTTTTGGAACTGAAATATCCATTTAAGAAAGGCTTCCTTTTCTGCCCCTCTCTTTCCCCAACCTGGGTGTGGAGAGAAGGCGCCCTGAAGTTCCAAAAGGCATGGCCACATACATACTACCCAATTAACACACCAGGAGAATAAAGAACTCATTTGGATCGGAGAGTTTGAGTTGGATGTTGACAAGTGAGAGCAGAAAGTCGCTCCCCCACCATCACCCTCTCAGTCCCTTCCTTCCAAAGGAAAATAAACAGTACCATTCTGTTGCGTTTGCAAAGGCAAAAAGGCAACTCCAGAGCATCTCGGTCCGGCACCGAGGGAACCATCAATCAGTGCGAGTTTCCGAGGTCTGCCCACATTCCTACCCTCTGCCTCCCGCGCCCTAACAACCCCGCCGACTTTGCTCCAACTCCAGCAGCGCGCCGGTCCTACCTTGACTGAAAAGGAAGAAGCAGAGGAAGAGCAAATCGAGCTGGAAAGGTTTCATTCCTCAGCACAGCAAGGGAGAGCCGGCGGGTAACTTGGGGGTGTAGTTAGTTTCTCTTCCTCGGCGGCTCGCGGTGCTCAGCCTCCAACGCCGGTCCTCTCCGATTCTTGCCGACCATCTGTCTGTCCGCCCGTCGGTCCCTTCGGGTGGTTTCGGTCTCTTTGTGTCTCCGGGTTTCTGCAGCCAGCTGAGACAAATTGCCTGTTTTTAACCGCCTCGGGAAGCCGGGATCCTCAGCAATGTCCCCACTCGGAGCAGATCCATTCTCTGGCTCTTGGCATCCCAGGCACACGGCTTCCTCCGGCGGGCTCCTCCCACAGCGAGCGAGCGAACGAGTGACGAGTGACAGAAGGGCTCCTTTCACAGAAGCTGTGGCGGGGGGAGAGGGAGGGGAAACAGGTCATAATTAAAGAGGAAATACTTGGAAAAAGGAGATCTTTGCAAAACGGAGGCTAGGGGAAAGGCTGTGTTCTTTCCTTCTTTTCCCTAAATAGGAGGATATTCAGCTTTTGTCACCATTATTGATTTTTTTTTTTTTTAAAAATCGTGAACGCGGAGCAGAGCTGTGACTTTTTGTCCACACGATGTAATGTTGTTTAAGGGAAGTGAAGTTAAAGATGACTATATGCATGCAAACGTATTAAAATCTGCATGCCTTGCCTTTGCATAAGAAACTAGAAACTGGGCTGAGAAGGAGCTTGGGAGGGGAACAGGGGCACAGGGTGGGGTGGGGGGGATCTTTCTCCAGCAAGGACTTGGCCAATGTGAGCAGTAGGAGGCTAGGGAGTTGAAGAGGATAAGCATGCTTTGCATTTTTGAGACTTTCCAACAGGGGTAGGTAATAAAACCTGAAGGTTTGGATATTAGTTTGCTTTGCATTGCTCTGAGAAAACCAAATGCTGGAATGGGAGAGAAAACAAGTAGGTTTATGACACATACCCATTTATTATTATTATCCTGGTCTGTGCATTTCCTAACAAGAACAGGAGAGTAGGCTGTCTTTGTATTTGGAGCTTCTGCACTAATGAGCACTCCGTCACTCTGAGCATCTTTTCTCCAAAAGGTGCTGTGAGTCTGATTTCGAAGGAGAGGCCAAGGTCATAGGCAACCACCTCCTAAGAACCTTCAGGTTTTTACCTGTCATGAAATTCACACTCAAATCAAACTCGATTTCCTCCAGGATATCAACATGAATTTATCTAGGTCCATTTATTTGATAGACATTTAGGCATGCCTGGAATAAGCAGGCCACAGGGGGAAATAAAATAGTAAGCACAGACCATGCCTTCAGGAGCCCATAATCTATAGAGTGCAAGCAGAGTATACACACTAGACACAAACTATAAGGATATTACAAAGCAATGTTTAAAAATATGCAGCATTATATGAAGTAGACCAAGGGGGGTAAAGAGAGATGAGAGAAAACTGAAATATGCTCTCTGGAAGTATACTATTCAACATTCAATTATAAAACAATCATTACTTTCTTCAGTCCTTGGACCTTAGGAAGGTCTTTTGGGAGCCTCTTAGCCTTTTCTCCATCAGTATCACAAATTGAGGGTCTTTACTAACTGCAAAGTACATTACGACTTGGAGTTTTCATGCTGATCTTAACTTCAAAAAATTATCCCTTGGTATTTATGAACAAGGGAAAAAAAAAAAGCATGGGCACAGGTAAAAGGGTATGTTGGTAGGAGCTGACACCTGGTAGTTGATATCCAAGATCTACCAATTAGTAAGTGTCAGCTTTGTTGACTTTTCAACTTAATAGTTTATTAAACTGTATTCCTTAGAGCCTGTTAAACATATCAAAGGGGAATTTGTAAGCAAGCTTTGGGGTGGGGGTGTGTGTGGTGGAGGTGGATGCTGAGCAGCAGAAACTAAGAGGACACAAAAGAGGCAACCCATCAGCTAAATTAACAAACAAGGTACAGAAGTAACCGTGTCAGCACAGCCTTAGCCCATTAGCTTGGTATGACAGATAATGCAATGAAACACAAGAGGCAAATCAGAAACACACAAAAGATGAATAATAATTTCAAACAACATATGACAAATAACATATTAAGACTGGAAATATGAAAATATGGCAGGTAATGGTAAATAGTAGCTTTCTACTAAATCTGTGAGGGTTTGGGGGGAATAAAGGTCTGGGAACAACTCCTAAGGCTAAATCTTACAGTGAGTACAACTAGTATCAGAATGTAGATGGTACCTGCTTGAGCAACAATTGTTGTTTTAACTAAAGATTTATCCTTTAAGCTGTTGTTTAATTTTGGTTGCTAATTCCTAAATGGCCCGGGGCCCAGATTTGCTTTAATTCAACCCCCAAGGGAAATACTGCAAACCCAGGGTCAGGAGGCTGGTGAACTGTGCAATGTCTGGTAATCAGGCACACCAACAGGCATATGCGCACCACACTCGCACATCATATCCTCTCTTGGAAAGGAGAAGAGTGGGGAGTGGGAGTCCGAGGTTGGAAGGATTTTGTTTAGCTCTCCCACTGGTCCCGAGCCTAGCCTCGTGATTCCCAAACTGGTTCCGGACCCCCCCACCCCAACAGCCACCTGGGCCTGTTCCCTTTTCCGCGCCCCCTCCGCCCCATCCCCGCAGCCTCCGGTCTCAGGCAGAAAGGGAAAAAGCTTGGATTAAGTGATGAGCTGCCCGCCTCTAAAAGGACCAGGAGGCGTTTCAACCCTGAGTGCCGGAAAACCCCCGGCAATCTTCAGTGGCCACCACGTGGGGGCAGAGAACGGGAGCGGTACCTGCAGGACCCACAGCCGGCCGGGCTCTGGCGCCAGCCCCGACGGCGGCCCCGCCATCTCCTCTCGGGCCAGCTCGTGGCCTCACCTCCTCCGGGGGCTCGGTTAACCTCCTGGCGCTGCAAGGTGGCCTGCGCGCAGTTCGCTCTCGAGGAGGGAGGGGGGAGGCGGCGAGGAGCGGACGGCTCCACCTGATGGAGAAGCGTGGAGAGTCCTTAGACCTTGAGTGCGCTGCGAGGGGAAGCAAGGAGGAAGACCACGGTCTCCGCTGGAAACCTCCGCGTATGTGGGATGGCGCGCGGGGGACCGGGTCTCTGCGTACAGTCGGTGGAGCTAACAGCCCAAAGAGACAGCCGAAAACCATCAACTTGGAAAGCCGCCCCAATTCTGATTTTCTGTGCATCCAGGCTCCAGGTCTCTGTTGAGCCCACCATGCAAGCCAGGGTCCCTCACCAGCAGGTGGCATCCTCTCCAGCGTTTCTTCTACAGGCTTGTAGCCCAGGAGGTCGACTTCATCCGTCGCCAAAACCCCTCCAGGACTTCAGTTCCAAGTGCTGTGTTCTTTGACCCGCCCCCAAGCCCCGTCTGCACCCGCTGCCTCCTGTCCCAGGGGACCAGCAGGAGTGGGATTGCGGAAAGCAGTGAGGAAGTCGGAGCCCACAGAGAATGCAGGGTGGCTCCAAATTCTGCTACTAGCTGGCCAAGAAGTTACAGAAGGGCAAGGCTGGGACAGCTTCCAAGTCCTGCTCTCCTAGCAGCAAGTGTGCCCCCACCCCCAGCCTCATGTGTCTGAGATCTGGGAAAGAGTGAAGCATGAAGTCCTGGATCCTGCTGCAGGATTGATGGGTACTGTTGTTCAGTGCCTTAAACTGTCTAACGTTCAAACTCTATGAAGACGCAGCTCATGTTCACCTTCGGTGACCTTGGGGGCTGTCAGTTCAATATCAATAACATTTACTATTCCGTTGATTTGGGCAAAGCCCTGTTTAGAGTACTTAAAGATGCGTGGGATGAATGCATAAATTCCTGTTCTTGAAAAGTTTGTTCTTTACTTGGGGAGGATACAAAGCTACAGATGTGTGTGTGTGTGTGGGGGGGGGGAATATAAGGCATATTATTGGCTTTTTAATAAGACAGAAATTGCCCTAAAGGTCATCTGTCAGGACCCTTTCTTTCTAGATGGCTCCTTCTGGGTGGACTTTCCTGAGGCTTTTCAGGAAGCTGCAGGGCTCAGATGCCAGTCCAGGGCCCTGACCATTAGCCCAGTATGTCTGCTCTTTCTCTACTGCTCATGTTGGGCCTAGCTCCCTTTAACTGTCTCGAAGTATTCATGTGTACTAACACCACAGACAAGGAGAGGGAGTGGTTCTTTTGTGAGACAGGCAGAGAATTTCCTGCTTAATGCTTCTTTGCAATATTTGTTGCACAGATACATTATAAACCACATTCTCTTTTTGTTTTTTATACATCCTGCCTGTACTGGATAAAACCTTCTTGCCCAGAGATTTAACACATTTTGAACAGGCCCCTAGTGGGAATTCAGGGTAACCTGCCTCTCTAGTCCTGGGTAAGTTAATAAAGGCTTGAAGCTACATACACATCCAAAGACCAAATGGTCTTTAGAGGTCCTCTCTGGGTGGCAGCTACCTGACCTGGGCAGTCACAATCTTCCAGCCTATTTCTTTTTCATTTCTCTGAACCAAATTTCTTGCTCACATCCGTGTAGGTGGATTACAAGACCTTAACCCCTGTTCACCGTGGTTGGTCTCTCTCTATTGCCAGCGGAAAGGGCCCAAAGAACCAGGTATTCAGCTTTTTAGAAGCATCCTCCAAAGAGCAAGACGTCCACCTCACTGACTCATGCAAGACTAGGCCTGACTGAGGGGATCACAGTGAGCCTTTGGACCTGGCTCTGGCCTGGCCAAGACTGTGATATTCATTTAATGAACCTAGGCCCATCTTTCTTTATCTATAAAATGACTGTTTTGAGTCAGTGGATCTTTGCAATCTCTCTCAACCCTAAAATCCTATTATGCCTTTTCCAGAGTCCACAGCTTTCAGCACAATCAGATTTGGAAGAGCTTCTCCAATGCCATCCGTGTTACAGGCAGATTATTTTGATTGATCAGTTCCTACCTCCAAGAAAACAAGTAATGATGCTGATATTTGTATGGGCCTCTGTGCTCTTCTGGGTTCCAACTTCTCTCCAAGCTGTTTTTCATCTTCTTTCTTCTCTGGATGTCCTAAACCTTTCCCTAACTTATGCAACTTGTGTGTTTCCCTTCTCTTTTTATTTTTCTTAGCATCATACTCATATTCAACCTGGGGTCTGGGTTCCAGAATAGATTTTCTTCAATTTACATGCTCTCATAGTGTTGGATGAAAACTTCTATTAGTGGGCAGAAATGGTGAAGCCAGTGTGGCTAATTAGAAAGGGCTTCTATTAAAGGAGGTGAATATCGAGGTACTTGGTACTTTCTCCATCTTGGTGTGAATCACATTTTACTGTAATACAGTCATGTATCTTCTATAATACCCCGGCAGCTCCATGAGGACAGGAAGAGTGTCTCCCTAGTTCACCTGTGTCCCCAGATCTCACTCTGGTTGACAGAAGACCACCAACACATACTGTTGAAAAAATACCAAAGCTTTACCTAGTGCCCCATATCCCACTTCCTGTTTTCTGAATCCAATTTAACTTATTCTTCGCACTGTTATTAAACCATTGTCAAACATCTGGCATGTGCTTGCCACTGCTCTGGCTGTATTTTATGGGGATGCGTAATGAATTGAGACTATATATAGTTTGCAAAATGTGGAACACACTTTAAGATGCATGGCATTATAGAAATGAAAGATATTTTTATCTCTCAGCATCATTCTGCACAAGGATACGATTCTCTGGCAGTACTCTTTAAGAACAATACCCCTGTTTAGCCTTAACATAATCATATGTGCAGGGCACTGGGTATTCAGTTCATATGGGAGTGGCATTATCTCACTTGGGAAAGACCTAAAGAGCATACACTTTACAGGGAATAAAAGACCTGAGAAACGATGTGAAAGGAGGTAGCAGTGCCCCTGTGCCTTTTTTCATTGGTGGCCAAGTGCACAGGCCAGAACCTGCATTCAAACTTCAGGATTGGCACTGAAAACAAGCCTCAGGATCCCTCTTCAGTGTTTGGAACAGTCTACTGTCATTTTGGAAGGCACCATGTGCTCTTTTTGTGTTTATGAACAGGCTAATTCTGTGGAAAATATTGGAAGACAAATTGAAATTCCAGTTATATGACTCATTTGTAGTATTCAAAGTAAGAGAATTATATGACATTTATTTTTTCCTCTATTATTCTTTTCCATGTCCTCCCCACTGCCTCTCCCACACATTACTCCTGTGTTATAAATTAGTAAAATTTTATAGCATCCAAAGGAACAGGTGCATCTCACTTGAAGTCCCTGTAAGTATTCTTCCTTGATGACAAATTTCCCTTTCTCTTTTCTGTATATTATACAAAATATTCTTTTCATATAAAATATATATTCACCTAAATAGACGCAAAGTTATAACATATGAAGTTCTATAAATTTATATATACACAAAACATTTTACACATATACATAAAACTTTTCATTAGTAAGCTAGCAAATCTGTCTCCTACTCAAATATTCCAAACTCTTTGATCCTAGACCAGGTTTTTTAATTATGTCTGCTTGAACTCATGCATCCTCAACTCTTTGCCTGGTATCCAGGCTAATAAGGCCCCTTCCACTGTCTAGCCTAACTGTTCTGCCAGATAGATCTGTTTGAAATTCAGTTCTGTAATATCTTTCCCATACTTAAAAATGCAGATGATCTCTGTGTTAGTCTGCTTGGGCTGTCATAACAAAATACCATATACTGAGGGCTTGTATAATAGAACACTGTTTTCTCATATTTCTGGAGGCTACAAGTCCAAGATCATGGTGCCAGCACATCATGTTCTGGTGATGGTTTCCTTCCTGGACTGTAGATAGTCACTTCTCTTAAGTACTCACATGGCCTTTCCTTGGGTGTGGGACATCACTCTCTTCTAAGGCCCCCAACCCTATTGGACTTGGATCTCATCTGTAATGACCCCATTTAACCTAAATTACTTCCTAAATGCTTGGTCTCCATATTCAGTCACATAAGGCATTAGGATTTAGCATATACATTTGAGGGGGATATAGTTCAGTCCATAGCCATTCCCAAGATAGAGGGTATTCTTTTATCCTGATATAGGGGTTGGTCAAACCAACATTCCTTTCCTATATTGGCAGCTGTCTCCTTCAAAGTCCAAATTCTTAGTCTTATCAAATGACTCTACTAATTAGAGACAGCAGTCAAGTTTACTTTTCCATTTCTTTCTTATTCCATTTCTTCTTCCTAGCATATGTTCAATACTTCGCTATCTGTTTGTCTAACAAATGGGTGCCTATTTCAAGAATCAGTTAGAAAGTCCAGTTAGTCAGCTTTCTTTTACTGTAACTAATTCCTGAGATCAACTTATAAAGGAAAAAGGTTTATTTTAGCTCACAGTTTTGGAGGTTTCAGTCTGTAATCAATTGACCCTATTATTGTGCTGCCTGTGGTGAGGCAGCACACCATCACAGAAACACGGGCAGAGCAAACATAGTCGCCTCGTGTGTCAGGGAGCAAAGAGGAAGAGGCGGGTGCTCACAATTCCCTTCAAAACTATATCCCCAATGCCCTGAGATCCTCCCACGAGAACTTACTTCTCAAAGGTTCTTCCACTTCCCCATAGCACCATGGACCTGGACCAAACCTTTAACACATGAGCAAGTGGAAGACACTTATCCAAAACATAGCCAATGCCATCCAGGAGGAGTTTGCATCATTCTTCTTCCACTCAGTTTAAAATGAATAATTTACTCATCTAGGGTTTCACAGCATTCTTATAATCTCTTGTTATTTACTTGTTAATATTATAACAATTTACCTGTCTCCCATCTAATCTAGATGTGAGAGCTTCAAGGCCAAGGTCCATCTTTTTGGAATTTAAATTTGCATATCTCAGAGTTTATAAAACTCAATGCCTAGAACATAGTAATTGTTTGCTAAGTAGTATTTGAAGGAAGTAAAAAACTCCTAGTACCCTTCCTGTACCCATCTAGTCTCAAGCTCAAAAGTTTTTTTCTTCATCATCTGATGCCTTTTGACCCAACTAGATCCAGGAAACTTCATGTTGATTTTCTTGAAACAGATGCATCTGAAGAGATAGAGAGAAAGATTTCTGACTATACACTATACATTTTGAATCCAACCAGAATTGCAGGCAAATGTGGGAGGTGGTGCCATCAATCTGTATAAATCACCACCGAAGTCTAGCTCTTGCATCAAAAAAAAAAAAGTGAAAATCCCAGTTATTCATATTGTTTAACTGCACAGTCCCAAACCAGCTGAGAAGCTATCACACTCTATAACAATTATGCAGACATAGGTTCAAAGTAAATGAGGAAAACCAACATTAATTTT